AGGGCCACCTTTTAAAAAAATAATAATTATACTTTAAAAGATTAAAATAACTTATATTTTTTAATATTTAATTATTTAAAAAATATTTTATATTTTTTAATAAAAGGAGTAATTCTGTTAGTATTTTTGAAAAAAAAATCATTTATTACTGGCCAGGGCAAAATCATTAAATAAATGTATTCCGGAAAACATTTTTTAAAAATACCATAGAATTGTTATGAATTACTACCTCCAATAAAAAAAATTGAATATCATTTCTTTATTTTCAAACTAATACTATTTTTTATATATTATCATTATTTAATAAATATTTTATTTTAAAATAAATATAAATTAGTTTATTTATTACGAGTACTTTTATAAAAAGCATACTCCTTTTGGTATAAGGAGTTGGATATTTAAAAATATAAATATTTTTAATCTTTTAAGATGTAATTATTATTTTTTTAAAGTACCCTTATTAATGAATAATTTTATATTTATTGTAGAATGCCTAATAGAGGTAAATATGAAAAGATATAATTAGTTTAAAAGTAGATAATTACTTTATTGAAGGTGAGATTAGGTTAAAAATGTTTTATATTTTTTAATGAAGGAAGTATTAATTATAACTTAAAATACTAAAAATATTTTATATTTTTAAAAAATATTTTATATTTTTAAATAAAGGAAATATTTATTGTAAAAAGGGACAAGAATTTTAAAAAAATGTTTTCATATGACGGAGTAAATTAAATTTTCCGAGAATATGAGACTCTGAGTATGTAACAAAAACTCAATTTTAAAAAAAGAAATAAATTGAAATTAAACTTTTTTGCATCAAAAAGGAAGAAACGTGAAACATGTGGGAGGTGTCGGGATTTTCGAGGAACGGGACATGATCAATCAGCTCGGAGACGTCCCGCGTGTGACGTCAGTTCTAGGCCCCAATCCCTAACGTATGTTTTCTTTTTTTTTAAAAAAAAAAAATACAGCCACACCGGATTCTCGGACAGGTTTGTCGTGGTATTTTTTAACTTTTTCCGTTTAAAAAATATAAAATATTTTTTTTAAAAAATAAATATTAAAAAATAAAATATTTTTAATTTTTTAATGTACAATCATTTATTTTTTTTAAAGTATTAATATTGATAATAATTTTATATTTATTTTAAAATGCTTAATAGATGTAAATATAAAAAAATAGTTAATTTAAAAGTAAGTAACTATTTTATTGAGAAATGAGATTCAATTAAAAATGTCTTATATTTTTTAATAGAGATTAAAAAATATACTTCTTCCATTCAAAAATATAAGGTGTTTTTTTAAGAGTTAGATGTTTAAAAATATAAGGCATTTTTAATATTTTAAGGTGTAATTATTTTTTTTAAATGTTCCTATTAATAAATGACTTTATATTTATTATAAGTTATTTAATAGGGATAAATAGAAAAAAATAGAGTTAATTTAAAAGTAGATAATTATTTTATTAAAAAATAAAATTTAATTAAAAATATTTTATATTTTTAAATAGAGGGAGTAATTAAAATTTAGGAGGAAAAGATTAGATTTTAGTCATTGTTAGAAGCTATTCTGGATAAAAGTTACACCTTAAAATTACACTCTTATTGTTAAAATTATTTTTACTCTTAATAAAATGGGTAAACAAAAAATGGCCTTTTAGAGAAAATGAAAACATGGTTTTAAAGATGAAAAAATCGAGGGAGCCTCTGTGGTTGTACAATTTTCTCACCTTATCTTTTCTGGGGTTGTTTCGCTGTCATGGTTGAAGAGACTGGAGAGATTGACGTTGCAAATCCTGCCACCGGCCACTCCTCCTCCTCCTGCACGCTTTTGCACCCTGATTTTAATTCATTCAAAAGCAATTAAATTATACAATATTTACATCATTTTCCATACATTATCTAATTACTTTCTCCGTTTAGACACTCTTAGCCAAATTATATATTTCAATAACTTCATTAATTGTTTTTTCAATTACACATTCTTTCCGCATTTATCATTTTTTTAATAGAATGTTTCAATTAAATAGTAATTTTATTTACACTCTTAATTAACTGTATTTTCAAAAAAAATCCTGTTGATTGTGCACTGAAAGACTCAAAATATCTTCTGTTTTTTAACATGATATTTTTAAAAAAATTATAATACTAAACTAATGGAGCATATTATTATACTAGTATCATAGGTACATAATAAATTTTATTTACCTACAAATAAGGGTGTTTAGAACCAACCTAAACTATTAAAATCAATGTGTATTTAGGTTTGATTTGGTTTTCAATTTAGGTTTCGGTTTTAGAACCTTCAGATCAGAACTAAACCGATTATATTCTATCTATATAATTATTTTGATAATCAAATCTCATTCCATTTTTTTTATATTGAGATTCACTGAATTTAGTTAATTATAATGAGATATAAATGTTGAGGAGTTAACAGAAGTATTAGTCACAATTAAAAAATTAAAAATGGAAATAATTTTTTTCAAAATATGAATAGAAAAATGGTAAAAAAGAAATGCAATAAAAAAAATCGAATCAAACACAACCAAAAAAAAACAAAGAAAGAAAAGAAAATAAAAAAGTTTCAAAAATTTCTAGACCCTCAGTTTAATTTGGTAAAACAAAAGAAAAGTACGATAGAGTGGTTTGGATATATGGCCAAAAAATTAAAAAAAATAAAAAGATAGGATATTTGGGAGATTTTCATACACATTTCTCACTTAATTTTTATAAAAACATACTCTCACTATTAAAAAATATAAAATATTTTTAATTAAATTTTATCTCTTAATAAAATAATTATTTAATTTAAAACTAACCTTATTTTTTATATTTATCTTTGTTAAACAGCTTACAATAAATATAAAATTATTATTAATAAGGGTATTTTTTTAAAAAGGCAATAATTACACTTTAAAAGATTAAAAATACTTCACATTTTTTAATATCTAATTCTTTAAAAAATATTTTATATTTTTTAACAGAAAGTATTAACTATTTTGATACTATTCCTTTTCTTAATTGAAAAATTGGAGACAAAATGGAAAAGAAGTCACACTTCCAAGTACGCACACTCCTGCAACATATAATCGATCTACACTGCCTTCATAATAATCATAATCAAATTTAAAGGCGTTTCGTAGACAAATTTATTTCTCATCAGGCATTAACTTCATATGTTTGCAAAATTTACTTTTATTCTAATCTATTCTTAAAAATGATATTCTAAGAAAGTATGAAGTAAAAAGGAAATTATTTAGAAAAATTATTTAAATACCGGAAAAGCACGGAAAATTGATTTGGTCAGTTTTTCGTGCTCACAAGTTATCAGTGTAATATTTTAAAAACAAAAATTATGTTAGACATTCTCTTCCTCTCTTTGCATACTTACTTCAATCCTTAATATAAGATAAATTTTGGAAGCTTTTTTAAATTTTTAACATAAGGTAAAGTTAGAACAATTGATACTATATTTTTTCTATTTCAATTTTTTTCCTTGTTTGTTTATCATCATTTGAATTCTAAACAAAAATTTATTATGGTTAATAATTACAAAGAAAGATAAAATTGTAAAATTATCTATTTTTTTTACAATTTGAAAAATATAACCATCATTTTTTTTATTAAGTGTGGAGTTGATTAAAATTGTTTTACATTGAGAGCCAGTGTCTACCATATATGCACGGGTGGGCGTGAAAACATGTTCAAAATCAAACCGGTCCTGAAATCATGGGCACCAGGTGAGGTCAGAAGAAACTAACGTTCCCTCCCTACATCTCAAAAAGAAAGAGCTGATCATTTAAGTTAAGACCAATAGATTAACTCAAATCTATTTAAAAAATTTAGAGTTGAATTAGAAAAAAATATTTTTTTATTTTTAAAAATATTCAGATCGGGTTCTTACTTATCCCGAATATCCAAATAAAAAATAATATTTTTTAAAAATATATAAAATATAATAAATATTAATTAATTTTTTAAGTTTTATGTCATTTTATAATAAAATATTATATATTTGAGTGTAACACTATAGTTAATTTTTAAAAAAATTACAAAATATTTATATTTCATATTTTTATTATTTTTAATCAATAAAATATATTAAAATAATATTTACAATATATTTTAATATTAATTTTTATATTTTAAAACCCAATTTTTTTTAAAAAAATTGTGAATCTCATACATCATTTGAGTATCCAAAAAAATATATTTTATATTTTTTATAAAATAAGATAATCAATTTTAAATTAAAATTGAAATAAAAATAATTTTAAAAATAAAGTTAAAGCAGTTATGAATTCTCGACTCTGCTACAAGATAAACATAATAAATAGAATAATATTCTTAGATAATTACTTCGTTATCATTCATGCCATACTTAATTAAAAATTAAAAATAAATTAGAATAAATACACTTTATATGTAAGGGTTAAACAATATAAAAAGTTAAAAATAATTTCAAAAAAAATAGTATTTTACTCATAATTAAATGATTTTATTTTTTTATAACATAATAATGGCTATTTTCTCATATTCTTGAAAACTTTGAACTAATGACGGCAATGATTTTATTTTAGTTTTCTAACCGTGATTAAATTAAAATCAACCTAATTATAATTAAAATATATAAAATATTTATATAAAACCATGATAAGAGTAATATTTATATTAATTTACAAGTAAAGAAAACATTTACAAATAAATTGCACATAATACAATAAAACAATAATATATCTACTTAAGTACAAATTTAAAAATTTATTATATTATATTATATTTTTTAAAGTTAAAAAATATTTTATACTTAATAGAATTATTTAAAAATTAAAATTAATTAAAAAAAATATTTTTAAAGAGTTTTAAGTAGTCAGGCCAACACATTTAAGCATGAAATTTAAAGGTAGTATGACCAAACTTGATTATATTTTTAAGATCAATTTGAATAAACTTAATTTAAATTGATCCCGACTCACATGAATTACAGCCTCTACAAAAAGGTGGAGAAACAATCAGCATTAGTGGAACCAGAGAGTAAAGTTCATGTTACTTGAATGCCAGATGACATCAAACCCTAAAATTCTTCCTTTTCGTTTCTCACCGGTCCTGTAATAGTTTCATTCCTCTTTAGAACTAAAAGCGCACAACTATGAAGTCACTAGGCAAGTATTTAGACTTTCAACACATTTTAAGACAGAGATATAACATTAGAGTCCTAGCCACAACAAGAAGAACAAACTGATATAGAACTCGTACATACTAAGCTCATACTAGTACGTAAGCACACCAGATAGATAACACAGGCATCTTTATTAGACTGGAAAAAGCGTAGTCCGAAACTCTCCCCCATTCTAGCTTTACGTGACGGGTTTTCTCATTAGACTTAACCAGCTAGGCTTAGGCTTTACACCGTGGAATTGGCAGTTCACTCAACGGAGGCTGCTGCGTGTTACCATCTCATGATATGTTTTAACCTTCTCGTGATATTCTTTGACAGCCAACTCAAACCCATTCTTCAACATGCTCTCTTTCCATCTCTCAAACTCTGCCACCGTCTTCAAGATCGTGGGGCCGTGACCACTCAACACCAGAGATGCTCCTTTGATGAACAGAACCCATCCACCTTCGTTCTTGAAGGAAATCATCTTCTGTATTTCTTCGGGCACGGCTTCAACAGTCTTGTAAGCCTGGGGCGCAAACAAGCTCTCTATACCACTCCAAAACCGGCGTAAGAGGCTCCTGTCCTCATCCACATAGAACAACTCTATTGAAATCTTGGCCTTCTTTAAGATGGGTTCCTGTACAAGATCAGTGGCGTACTTGGTGAACCTTCGAGTCCAAGCTGAGTCATTGCCCCCAAACAAAAATATGTATTTCCTCTCCTTGATCTGTTTCAATGAGCGATATTACAAATTGAATGACCAATGCAAGTTGAAAGCAAATATTCTAACAATTTCATTTTTCTTTGCTGAAAAGTGTTGCTCAATGTGCTTACCCAGAGGTCAATGGTGGGGTGAATATTGCAAACCACTGTTCCGATCCAGTTGGAGCTACTGTCAATCTTGGTATCGATTCTGGTTCCGCTAGTGGCGGTAAAGGGAAAGGCCTTCATCCCCTGAACCTGAATCAAATGGAATGCGTCAGTGTTGAGCACCTTCCCTTGAGGATTCAGCACCACAACCATCGGCTTCTTCCTGAAATGCCATTCCTCTCTAATGTACTTGTACCCTGCGACACTTCCAAAGTGCTCCACCACGTACCATGGCATCTTACTTTTCAGGATCTCAAATTTCTTGCGCAACTGGTCATTCCACTCCTCTACGATGGGAATCCACACAATCTTATATTGGTTATTTGTCTTGATAAATTCATAAATTGGAAAGAGAATTGATATTTCTGGCTCCGTGATGTCTAGGGTGGAAATGAACAAGAACAAGTGCTTCATTCTCAGCACATCAATGTCAACCTGTTTGGGCAACAAAATTGGAAAATCACGAAAACGCAAACCACCGCTTGTTTGCATATTAACTTACAATACAAGTCTAACAAGAGAATTCTCAAATTAGGCTGTATGACTGACAAACACAATGTAATTGCATGACCTCAATAAGTTTTCCATCCCTGTAGAACCAGTGAAATTATGCCTAGGTATTTATATTCGAATCCAATTACTTAGAAAAACCTAGTGTTATGAGTGATAACACACTTTCTGGAGAAGAAAAGGGCTTCACATTGCCTCATTGTGCAGAGAGAGCAAGCAAATAGCAATAGCAGTACTAGGAGTTACAAACCATTTGTTTGGTAGCACCATCAAACAGTTCCTGAGGTCCATCCCTTGAGAAAATCAGGACCTTGAACACCTCAACTATTTCAGACGGGGTTCGCAAGAGTTCCATCAGCCTTCCATAGGACCTTATCTCCTCTGTAATTACAGAGAAATCGTCTAATCAGCATCCTGCACGGCTCCATTATAAAGGATGGAGACTATAATTACTTTAAAAGATCTTAAGAGAGTCGTATATTAGAATATGAGACAGCTCTTTATGCTCAACCTATCTGTTGCTCGCAGATGAAGATCATCTTCTTCAACTTGGCGAGCACTATTCTAGTTTTTTGCCCAAAATAGGACAATTCCTGCCTTTGCTCCCTGAAATCATAGCAATTATAGTCACTTTACATATTTGCTACATGGTGAAGAATTATGATGGAGCAAGACTTACGAATCAGTAGTGAGACAATCAATCTGAGTGACACAGGCTGCAATAGTAATAATAGCCCAATAGACACCAACAGGGATAAGATCCACTGCATGCGCCAAAGCAGGCACATCCACTGCATCATAAGAGGTGAGCTTCTGAAGCTCAAAGACGGCCTCAATCACTTCCATAGCGGCTTTGATCATATTATTTATCTCATAAATGTCCAGGAAATGTTCACGCAGAGCTGCAGGCTTCGTCAGCGCAGAAACTCGTTTCAGTATGGCTACTGATTTGGCCAATTCATCGTTAGGCTGAAGCTGAGAAAGCCACCAAAACTCTCCATATTCCAGAGCAAAAGCGGCAAGAGTCAGAATAGCTTTTGCTTCCCAGGAATAGTCGGAGAGCAGATTCAGAATCGTCATGGTAGTCTTGTGAGCAATATCATCACCGGGAGTCTTGCAGCACATCTGCCGACATCACACCGTCATTACCCTTTCATTCATATTTCTCTCAACTGAATTCCTAATGTGTGTATGGGAAGAAACTAAACTATCTTGAGACTTCTAGCTTGTAATGAAATCCCCTTAAATTACAAGCCATAGTTTACTGAAAACCAAAAGAATGCGCATAAACGGAGACAAATAAAAAAATAAAAAGGACGACTGACCTCCGAAGAAATTTCCTTCAATGTGCGCAACGGAGAAGTGAAGGTGGCTTGGGGAAGCTTTTCATCAACACACTTAGGGGTTTCATGGTTTCCCTCCAAGACATTGTCCACGATACAGGTGGAACCCCGAAGGATGATGTCGACAATGGTGAAAAGAGAGTCGGCATCGAGCTTGGTGTCACTGGGGAGATGAGTAGCGTAAACCTTCTCCAAGATCTCTTGATCGGACATGGTTATAGGATTTTGAACTTCTTCATCCTCGCGTTGGAGAAGAGATCTTAGCGAACGCCTTAAAGAAGCCATGAGTTGAATTTCCTAAGTGGTGATGAAGCTCAACTGAACAGAGCTCGGTCCAGTGCTCGATGGTCGCCCAGGTGAACCGTGAAGCCGATGACCACCGTCACTGCATTTTTGCTTTTATTATTAATGTTATTATTTATTACAATACAAGATATTTCTACCACTCCAATTCTTCACGTGCTTTTAGGCCAGAAAACTGTTATTTTGTCCAGTTCAGGAGAGATAAACTAGACTCTCCAGATTATTTTTGTATTAAAATTGAAACGGGCTCCTAGTTAGGGTAAAGGGTGCATGTAATTAAGATTATTTAATAATCTTAGATTATGTTTGAATAGCTGAGAATTTAGATTTAAACCAAAATACATGAAATTATATGAATTTAGACAAATTTAAGCAAAATTTTAATTAACCTAATCTACCTTATTTTTAATTATAACCTTTCATAATGTATTTTTGCTAGTATGAATTTTTTAAAATATTTAAATAAAAAATTTAAAATGTATAAATTTAAAATGTGAAATTTTAAATATAAATTGTAAAACCATTTAGTTAAATACTATTTAAAATAATATTTAAAGAACTTAGTATTTTAATTCGGGACATAGTTGAAAATACGGGCAGTCGTTTTAAATTTGTTTAAATTCTCAATTAAAAAATTAATATTTTTCAGGATAATTAGAAATTTAGACCAGACTTGATAAGCTTTAAAAATGGATCTGGGCATGGACAACCTGTCAAGTAGAGTAGGTAACTTAAATCATAACTAATGGGCTAAATTGAACTCATTTGAAAAAATTTAACACCAAAATCAAAAATTAATATTTTTAAATGTTTGGCTTGAGTAGACCAAAAAAAAAAATTTTAATACCAGAATGAAAATATCATAATTTTTAAAAAATATTAATTATTTATTTAAATTTTATGTCATTTTATACTATAATATCATATATTTGAGTGTATTATTATAGTTATTTTTAATTAATAAAATATCTTAAAATAATATTTAAAATATAATTTAATATTTATTTTTATATTTTAAGACCCACATTTTTTATAAAAAAAAGTTAAGTCCAACATATCATTTAAATATCTAAAAAAATATGTTTTATATTTTTTTATGAAATAAAATATTTAATGTTAAAGAAAAATATTAAAATAGAAATAATTTTAAAAATTAAATTTGGGGGCATGTACAAATTTTCGGCTCCACTTTTAGATAAATATAGTAAATATAGTAATATGCTTGAATAATTATTTGATTGTCACCCATTCTAGACTTGATTAAAAATAAAAAATAAATTAGAGTAAACATTTCTTATATGTAGGAGTTAAATAATATAAAAAGTTAAAGTAAAAGTAATTTTAAAAAAAATTATTTTACTCATAATTAAATAGATTTTATTTTATATATATATATATATGATGAATATATTTTTTCATATTCTTAAAAATAAAAAATATAGTTTACCTAAAAGTTATCAAAAATTTTAAACCAATCGAAATAATGATTTTAAGTTGGTGATCTAATTGTGATTGAATTAAGATCAATTTGACCATAATTAAAATATATAAAATATTCATATATAACTATAATAAGAGTAATATTTAAAACAACTAAAACATTAATTTACAACTAAAGGAAACATTAATGAATACATTATACATAATATAACAAAATAGTAACAGAGTTATTTAAGCATAAAGTTGATGAGTTATTATTTTTTTTTATTCTTTTAGGTCAAAATGATATTTTATGCTTAACAAAGTTGCTTAAAAATTGAAATTGATTCAAAAAATAGAGAAAAATATTTTTTAAAAGTTTTAGGTATTCAGACTAACACGGATAAGCCTAAAGCCCAAAAGTGTTAGGGTTAAATTTAGCTATATAAGCTTTTTATATTTGAATAAGTATGGCACCCAGTTCAAATAAGCCTAGCTTGCTTGAATCACCGCTCTACCATTAAGCTTGTTTGCATATTAATTAATTTTCATCCCTTTATTTTTTAATATATTAAATGATCAGTATTTTTAAAATTTTATATTTTTATTTTAAAAAGATAAGATTGTCAAGTGTATTTAATAAAATTTATTAATATGTAAAATTTTATATAAAAATATTTTATAATTTAAGATGTAGTGAGTAATATTGATATAAACAATTGCAAATAGGAATATCAATGACAAAATGAGAGTTACATAAAAAAATTTAAATTTTTATTTGTAAATGAAACTCTTGAATTTATAATTATTTTTAAATTAATTTTAACACAATATTTATATTATTTTGGGATAATCACATCTAAGGACATAAGAAAAAATTATTTACAAACAAGAACCAATAACAAGTCCCATATGAAAAAAAGAAAAACATAACTTTTAATCTCTGTACTTTACTCGTATTTTGATATAGATCCCTATACTTTTTTTTGATGTTCTAGATTCCTATATTTTTTTTTTATGTTTTAAGTTCCCAAATGATTAAAATGATCAAAGTGTATAGACCTTAAATGAACATGAAATACCAAAAATGAAGGTATAGGGATCCAAAATATTGAAAAAAAGTGTAAGGACCTATATTAAAATATGAGCAAAGTGCAATGGCCAAAAGTTATGTTTTTTCAATGAAAAAAACAAGTACATATTTTCATTTTAATAACAATCTATTTCATATTAGTTCTTATCTATTAATAACTATCTTTTTTAGTCCTTGAATATGATTATTTTATACACCATGCACTATATTGGCTAGTCAGTTAACATTATCTAGCCATATATATTTTTATATAATTATATACTTTTTTCTAGAGCAAAATATGAAGTATTGATAATTAATTTACATTTATAAAAAAATAATTGAAATCTTGATTTCTTAAAATTTTTTACATATTTTTAATTATACCTTAATTAAATATTCTATATAAAAGTCTTGATAATAATAATTAAAATTTTAATATATTATTTTTAAAAAAATAATAAATAAAATAGATGCATGGTTATATTTTTTTTATAAAAATTATTTAATGTCCTATAATTTAAATTAGGCAAAGATTTAAAAAAAAAAAAAAAACTCATAACGTGATTCTCGTGTTGGTATCATTTATGGTCTCGAGTCCCGAGTCTGACCTTTTGCTCAAAAAAAAGTGAAAATCACCTGCCCTTGAATCTTATTCCGCCACGTCTCACGCCTCTCCCTGGCAAAATCTTCAATTTTTCTAAAAGGTAATGTAATTTTTAGCCTCACAAATATATCTCAGTTTTTAATTTAATTCTTTAAATTTAATTTATATCAGTTTAATTTTTAAGTTTATTTTGATTATCATTTTCCTCATAGTTTGAAAAAATAATTGTATTAGTAAAAATTGCTAATGTTGATAACAAAATATTAATAGCAGTGATATATATTAATAAAAAAATATGATTTTTTACATTTTTTTATAAAAAATATTTAATGCTCTATAATTTAAATTACGCAAAGATTTTTTTTTTTAAAAAAAACTTATAACGTGATTCTCGTGTTGGTATCATTTGTGGTCTCGAGTCCCGAGTCTCACTTTTTGCTCAAAAAAAAAAAAAAAGTGAAAACCACCTGCCCTTGAATCTTATTCCGCCACGTCTCACACCTCTCACTGGCAAAATCTTCAATTTTTCTAAAACGTAATGTAATTTTTAGCCTCACAAATATATCTCAGTTTTTAATTTAATTCTTTAAATTTAATTTATTTCAGTTTAATTTTTAAATTTATTTTGATTATCATTTTCCTTATTGTTTAAAAAATAATTGTATTATTAAAATTTGCTAACGTTGATAACAAAATATTAATAGCAGTGATATATATTAATAAAAATATCATTATTAAGGTAAGAAAAATATATTCTTCAATTAAAAATACATTATAAAGAATTACATTAATAAAAATTAAACTTGAAAGCTAATTTATCCTTATTTGGTTATTTATATATATATCAAATCATCAATATATTTTACACATTAATTACTCATCCGTTTAAAAATATAAAATATTTTTAAATTGAATTTCACCTTCAATAAAACAGTTATCTATTTTTCAACTAATTTTATTTTTATATTTATCATTATTAAATATTTTATAATAAATATAAAATCATTCTCAATAGGAATATTTAAAAAAAAAAGATAATGATTACATTTTAAAAGATTAAAAATAATTTATATTTTAAAATATTTAATTTTTTAAAAAATATATTATATTTTTGAACGGAAGGAGTATTATTTTAAAAGTTAATTTGTATTATAAAGCATAAAAAATTCATATAATAATTTTTAAAAAACATATCAGATCAAATTAAAAAAATTAAATTTAATAAATCAAATTGATAATTAAAATGAGCTTCTTGAAATTAAAAGTTTCATTTTCCTATTCTTTTATTATAGTATTTGCTCCTGCGCAAATGAATGCATATTTTCTTTTTTAAAAAAAAAAATGAGACTTAATCGGTAATCCACGTGATACGGACCTTGGTAGCGTATCAACAGGGGATAAGGTCCTCTTGGTCCCGCCTCCCGGGCATGCTCTGCGTTTCATGAGTCCATTGTTCCGTTTCAGGGAACGAAAGCGACCTCCACTGAAAAAACTTTTTTTTTTTTGAGGAAATTACAAATCCCAGGAAGATACTAATGGTACCTACTCAACAATTTTGAATTTGTTGCAGCAAAAAAGGGCATAATAGATTTTTTTTAAATAAATGCTGCTTTGAAGTTATAAGAAAACATACACGATAAAACACAAAAAATTCCTTTCCTAAAGAAGACCTCTATTTTGCAGCAGAAGGAGTATTCACAATATTATTCTTAAATAATATTTTTTAAATAGCAAGAAATATATTCACGAAAATAATTATTAATTATATAATAAGATACATAACAGAACAATCGGAGGGCTGATGGAGATATGTGGCTTATTGAGCTTTGAAATACATATGAGAATGAAAGAAAGGGAAGAAAGAAGCGATGCCGGGAAAGAAAATGATTGATGACTCCCATGTCTTTGTTGCTAAGCGAAGAAAGCACACTCACGTCTCACACTGGCCCTCCCCCGGCGATAAGATTCGGTTTCGAATATCTCAATCAA